CTCCCGCTTTCCAGCAACCCGCCCCATTCTCCCACTTTCCATCACCCCGCCCCATTCTCCCGCTTTCCATCACCCCGCCCCATTCTCCCGCTTTCCATCACCCCGCCCCATTCTCCCGCTTTCTATCAACCCGCCCCATTCTCCCACTTTCCATCACCCCGCCCCATTCTCCCGCTTTCCAGCAACCCGCCCCATTCTCCCACTTTCCATCACCCCGCCCCATTCTCCCGCTTTCTATCACCCCGCCCCATTCTCCCCGCTTTCCATCACCCCGCCCCATTCTCCCGCTTTCCAGCAACCCGCCCCATTCTCCCGCTTTCCATCACCCCGCCCCATTCTCCCGCTTTCCATCACCTGCCCCATTCTCCCGCTTTCCATCACCCCGCCCCATTCTCCCGCTTTCCATCACCCCGCCCCATTCTCCCCGTTTTCCATCACCCCGCCCCATTCTCCCACTTTCCATCACCCCGCCCCATTCTCCCGCTTTCCTTCTCCTTGCCCCATTCTCCCGCTTTCCATCACCCCGCCCCATTCTCCCGCTTTCCATCACCCCGCCCCATTCTCCCGCTTTCCATCACCCCGCCCCATTCTCCCGCTTTCCATCATCCCGCCCCATTCTCCCGCTTTCCATCACCCCGCCTCATTCTCCCGCTTTCCATCACCCCGCCCCATTCTCCCGCTTTCCATCACCCCGCCTCATTCTCCCGCTTTCCATCCCCATTCTCCCGCTTTCCATCACCCCCGCCCCATTCTCCCGCTTTCCATCACCCCGCCCCATTTTCCCGCTTTCCATCACCCCGCCCCATTCTCCCGCTTTCCATCACCCCGCCCCATTCTCCCGCTTTCCAGCAACCCGCCCCATTCTCCCACTTTCCATCACCCCGCCCCATTCTCCCGCTTTCCATCACCCCGCCCCCATTCTCCCGCTTTCCATCACCCCGCCCCATTCTCCCGCTTTCCATCACCCCGCCCCATTCTCCCGCTTTCCATCACCCCCGCCCCATTCTCCCGCTTTCCATCACCCCGTCCCATTCTCCCGCTTTCCATCTCCCCGCCCCATTCTCCCGCTTTCCATCACCCCGCCCCATTCTCCCGCTTTCCATCACCCCGCCCCATTCTCCCGCTTTCCATCACCCCGCCCCATTCTCCCGCTTTCCAGCAACCCGCCCCATTCTCCCACTTTCCATCACCCCGCCCCATTCTCCCGCTTTCCATCACCACCGCCCCATTCTCCCGCTTTCCATCACCCCGCCCCATTCTCCCGCTTTCCATCACCCCGCCCCATTCTCCCGCTTTCCATCACCCCGCCTCATTCTCCCGCTTTCCATCACCCCGCCCCATTCTCCCGCTTTCCATCACCCCGCCTCATTCTCCCGCTTTCCATCACCCCGCCCCATTCTTTCCGCTTTCCATCACCCCGCCCCATTCTCTCGCCTTCCATCATCCCGCCCCATTCTCCCGTGTTCCAACACTCTGCCCCATTCTCCCGCTTCCCATCACTCCGCCCCATCCCCCCTCCTTCCATCACTCCGCCCCATTCTCCCGCTTCCATCACCCCGCCCCATTCTCCCGCTTTCCATCACCCCACCCCATTCTCCCGCTTTCCATCACCCCGCCCCATTTCCCGCTTTCCATCACCCCGCCCCATTCTCCCGCTTTCCATCACCCCGCCCGATTCTCCCCGCTTTCCATCACCCCGCCCCATTCTCCCGCTTTCTATCACCCCGCCCCATTCTCCCACTTTCCATCACCCCGCCCCATTCTCCCGCTTTCCAGCAACCCGCCCCATTCTCCCGCTTTCCATCACCCCGCCCCATTCTCCCGCTTTCCATCACCCCGCCCCATTCTCCCGCTTTCCATCACCCCGCCCCATTCTCCCGCTTTCCATCACCCCGCCCCATTCTCCCGCTTTCCATCACCCCGCCCCATTCTCCCGCTTTTCATCACCCCGCCCCATTCTCCCGCTTTCCATCACCCCGCCCCATTCTACCGCTTTCCATCACCCAACCCCATTCTCCCTCCTTCCATCACCCCGCCCCATTCTCCCTCCTTCCATCACCCCGCCCCATTCTCCCGCTTTCCATCACCCCACCCCATTCTCCTGCTTTCCATCAACCCGCACCATTCTCCCGCTTTCCATCACCTCGCCCCATTCTCCCGCTTTCCATCACCCCGTCCCATTCTACCGCTTTCCATCACCCAGCCCCATTCTCCCTCCTTCCATCACCCCGCCCCATTCTCCCTCCTTCCATCACCCCGCCCCATTCTCCCGCTTTCCATCACCCCGCCCCATTCTCCCGCTTTTCATCACCCCGCCCCATTCTCCCGCTTTCCATCACCCCGCCCCATTCTACCGCTTTCCATCACCCAACCCCATTCTCCCTCCTTCCATCACCCCGCCCCATTCTCCCGCTTTCCATCACCCCACCCCATTCTCCCGCTTTCCATCAACCCGCACCATTCTCCCGCTTTCCATCACCTCGCCCCATTCTCCCGCTTTCCATCACCCCGTCCCATTCTACCGCTTTCCATCACCCAGCCCCATTCTCCCTCCTTCCATCACCCCGCCCCATTCTCCCTCCTTCCATCACCCCGCCCCATTCTCCCGCTTTCCATCACCCCGCCCCATTCTCCCGCTTTCCATCACCCCGCCCCATTCTCCCGCTTTCCATCACCCCGCCCCATTCTCCCGCTTTCCATCACCCCGCCCCATTCTCCCGCTTTCCATCACCCCGCCCCATACTCCCTCCTTCCATCACCCCGCCCCATTCTCCCGCTTTCCATCACCCCGCCCCATTCTCCCTCTTTCATCACCCCGCCCCATTCTCCCGCTTTCCATCACCCGCCCCATTCTCCCGCTTTCCATCACCCCGCCCCATTCTCCCGCTTTCCATCACCCGGCCCCGTTCTCCCACTTTCCATCACCCCACCCCATTCTCCCGCTTTCCATCACCCCGCCCCATTCTCCCGCTTTCCATCACCCCGCCCCATTCTCCCGCTTTCCATCACCCCGCCCCATTCTCCCGCTTTCCATCACCCCGCCCCATTCTCCCGCTTTCCATCACCCCGCCCCATTCTCCTGCTTTCCATCACCCCGCTCCATTCTCCCTCCTTCCATCACCCCGCCCCATCCTCCGGCTTCCATCACCCCGCCCCATTCTCCCGCTTTCCATCACCCCGCTCCATTCACCCTCCTTTCATCACCCCGCCCCATCCTCCTGCTTTCCATCACCCCGCCCCATTCTCCCGTTTTCCATCACCCCGCCCCATTCTCCCCGCTTTCCATCACCCCGCCCCATTCTCCCGCTTTCCATCACCCCGCCTCATTCTCCCGCTTTCCATCACCCCGCCCCATTCTCCCGCTTTCCATCACCCCCGCCCCATCCTCCCTCCTTCCATCACCCCGCCCCATTCTCCCGCTTTCCATCACCCCGCCCCATTCTCCCTCTTTCCATCACCCCGCCCCATTCTCCCTCCTTCCATCACCCCCGCTCCATTCTCCCTCATTCCATCACCCCGCTCCATTCTCCCTCTTTCCATCACCCCTCCCCATTCTCCCGCTTTCCATCACCCCCGCCCCATTCTCCATCTTTCCATCACCCCGCCCCATTCTCCCTCTTTCCATCACCCCGCCCCATTCTCCCGCTTTCCATCACCCCGCCCCATTCTCCCTCTTTCCATCACCCCGCCCCATTCTCCCGCTTTCCATCACCCCGCCCCATTCTCCCGCTTTCCATCACCCCGCCCCATTCTCCCGCTTTCCATCATCCTGCCCTATTTTCCCTCTTTCCATCACCCCGCCCCATTCTCCCGGTTTCCAGCAACCCGCCCCATTCTCCCGCTTTCCATCACCCCGCCCCATTCTCCCGCTTTCCATCACCCCGCCCCATTCTCCCTCTTTCCATCACCCCGCCCCATTCTCCCTCCTTCCATCACCCCGCTCCATTCTCCCTCATTCCATCACCCCGCTCCATTCTCCCTCTTTCCATCACCCCTCCCCATTCTCCCGCTTTCCATCACCCCGCCCCATTCTCCATCTTTCCATCACCCCGCCCCATTCTCCCTCTTTCCATCACCCCGCCCCATTCTCCCCGCTTTCCATCACCCCGCCCCGTTCTCCCTCTTTCCATCACCCCACCCCATTCTCCCGCTTTCCATCACCCCGCCCCATTCTCCCCGCTTTCCAGCACCCCGCCCCATTCTCCCACTTTCCATCACCCCGCCCCATTCTCCCGCTTTCCATCACCCCGCCCCATTTCTCCCTCTTTCCATCACCCCGCCCCCATTCTCCCTCTTTCCACCACCCTGCCCCATTCTCCCGCTTTCCATCACCCCACCCCATTCTCCCTCTTTCTATCACCCTGCCCCATTCTCCCTCTTTCCATCACCCCGCCCCACTCTCCCGCTTTCCATCACCCCGCCCCATTCTCCCGCTTTCCATCACCCCGCCCCATCCTCCCTCCTTCCATCATCCCGCCTGATGCAAGCATCATCGGTCATCGGCGCTCGCAGAATGAAAAGCGCCCGCTGCACTTCCTGCACATGTGCGGATCTTTCCGCGTTTCGGGGCTGGAAGCACTCGTTCTGAGCGTTTTTCTTCTACCTGGTCACATGGCTACGCTTGTCTGGGCCTATTTCCAAGCCAGCAAGGGCGTGGGAGGGTGGCGAGCATCATTGGTCATCAGCGCTCGAGAATGAAGAGCGCCCGCTGTACTTCCTGCACATGTGCGGATCCTTCCGCGTTTTGAGGCTAGAAGCGCTTGTTCTGAGCGTTTTTCTTCTACTGTGGTCAAATGGCTGCGCTTGCCTGGGCCTATTGCCAAGCCAGCAAGGGCGTGGGAGGGTTGCAAGCATCTTTGGTCATCAGCGCCTCCCGAATGAAGAGCGCCCGCTGCACTTCCTGCACATGTGCGGATCCTTCCGCGTTTTGAGGCTGAAGTGTTCGTTCTGAGCGTATTTCTTCTACCGGGTTACCTGGCTGCACTTGTCTGGGCCTATTGTCAAGCCAGCAAGGGCGTGGGAGGGTCGCAAGCATCATCTCTCATCTCCCTTCTCCCTACTCTTATCTTCCTTCTCCCTACTCTCATCACCCTTCTCCCTATTCCCATCACCTTTCTCCCTACTCTCATCACCTTTCTCCCTACTCTCATCACCTTCTCCCTACTCTCATCACCCTTCTCCCTACTCTCATCATTCTTCTCTCTACTCTCATCACCTTTCCCCCTACTCTCATCAACCTTCTCCCTACTCTCATCACCCTTCTCTTTACTCTCATCACCCTTCTCCCTACTCTCATCACCTTCTCCCTACTCTCATCAACCTTCTCTCTACTCTCATCACCCTTCTCCCTACTCTCATCACCCTTCTCCCTACTCTCATCACCCATGCGCTTCCTTTCTTTAGCATTTGTGGGCAGGCACGGCCATCATCGCGGGCGCCGAACTTTTCTGTGTGCGCGAACCAAGCTGAAGTTGCTTTGGAAGGTGTATTTGAACATGGGCCACCCGAATATGCAACAATATTCGGGTCGTTCGATGCTTTTCCTTACGCCTATAGGGATCCATGCGCTTCCTTAGCATCTGTTGGCAGGCACGGCCGTCATCGCGGGCGCCGAACTTTTCAGTGCGCGCGAACCAAGCTGAAGTTACTCTGGAAGGTGTATTTGAACATGGGCCAACCGAATATGCAACAAATATTCGGGTCGTTGGGTGCTTGTCTTTACGCTTATATGGATCCATGCGCTTCCTTAGGCATTTGTCGGCAGGCACTGCCGTCAATCGCGGGGCGCCGAACTTTTCTGTGCGCGCGAACCAAGCTGAAGTTGCTCTGGTAGGTGTATTTGAACATGGGCCACCTGAATATGCAACATAATCGGGGTCGTTCGATGCTTTTTCCTACGCCTATAGGGATCCATGCGCTTCCTTAGCATTTGTCGGCAGGCACGGCCGTCTTCGCGGGCGCCGAACTTTTCTGTGCGCGCGAACCAAGGTGAAGTTGCTTTGGAAGGTGTATTTGAACATGGGCCACCCGAATATGCAACAACAATCGAGCCGTTTGATGCTTTTCCCTACACCTATAGGGATCCATGCGCTTCCTTAGCATTTGTGGGCAGGCAACGGCCGTCATCACGGGCGCCGAACTTTTTTTGTGCGCGCGAACCAAGCTGAAGTTGCTCTGGAAGGTGTATTTGAACATGGGCCACCCGAATATGCAACAATATTGGGGTCGTTGGATGCTTTTCTTCACGCTTATAGGGATCCATGCGCTTCCTAAGCATTTGCCGGCAGGCACGGCCGTCATCGCGGGCGCCGAACTTTTCTGTACGTGCGAACCAAGCTGAAGTTGCTCTGGAAGGTGTATTTGAAACATGTGCCACATGAATATGCAACAATATTCGGGTCGTTGGATGCTTTTACTTACGTTTATAGGGATCAATGCGCTTCTTTAGCATTTGTGGGCAGGCACGGCCGTTATCACGGGCGCCGAACTTTTCTGTGCGCGCGAACCAAGCTGAATTTGCTCTGGAAGGTAAATTTGAACATGGGCCACCCGAATATGCAACAAAATTCGGGTCGTTTGATGTTTTTTCTACACTTATAGGGATCAATGCGCTTCCTTAGCATCTGTGGGCAGGCACGGCCGTCATCGTAGGCGCCGAACATTTCTGTGCGCGCGAATTAAGCTGAAGTTGCTGTGGAAGGTGTATTTGAACATGGGCTACCCGAATATGCAACAATATTTGGGTCGTTCGATGCTTTTCCTTACGCTTATAGGGATTCATGCGCTTCCTTAGCCTTTGTAGGCAGGCACGGCCGTCATCGCGGGCGCCGAACTTTTCTGTGCGCACGAACCAGGAAGAAGTTGCTCTTGAAGGTGTATTTGAACATGGGCCACCCGAATATGCAACAAAATTCGGGTCGTTGGATGTTTTTTTTCCTACGCTTATAGGGATCAATGCGCTTCCTTAGCATTTGTGGGCAGGCACGCCCGTCATCGCGCGGGCGCCGAACTTTTGTGTGCGCGCGAACCAAGCTGAAGTTGCTCTGGAAGGTGTATTTGAACATGGGCCACCCGAATATGAAACAAAATTTGGGTCGCTTGATGCTTTTCCCTACGCTTATAGGGATCAATTGTGAATTAAGAAAACAGGAATGAGAATGACTAAGGGAAAGTTGGGTACAAATACAAACCCTAGAAAACTGTACCCCATATGTGCTACCCCACTATAGCCTACAGTAGCTCTGTCATATAAATCTGACACACCCCCATAGGCAAAGTGGGGGAGAACAAGGGGTCACAAGACCAGTCAAGCAAAGCAAAGCAAGCTCAGGGTGGATCACAAAGTCACCACACATTCCGAGCACAAGTTCAAGGCCACAAGGCCAGTTCACATGCAGGATTACATATATATATAAGGCTAGACAAGCAAGAGCACGTGTATATATATATGCAACAGTACAAACAAGGTCAAGGGGTGAGCAAGTGAGGCAAGGTAGGCACAAGGCCCAGCTGAGTACAGAAACGCTGATGATCACAAGGCGCAAGTGCCTTGGTGAAGATATCAGCAGTGTTGGCCTGAGAGGCCACGTACGCAAGTCGCAGCTGACCACGCTGCTGTAGCTCACGAGCAAGGAAGTAGCGGAGAGCAATGTGCTTCGTTCTGTGCTCCAGTCTCTGCTCTCGACACAAGGCCAGCATGGCCTTGTTGTCTACGTACAGCACTGGAGGAGAACGAGGCGGCTCTCCGAGGTCAGTCAGCAGGTAGGTGAGCCAGCGAAGCTCCTGTGCAGCCATGGCCCCAGCGTAGATCTCAGCCTCACAACTGGAGCCGAGAACAGAAGACGAGCGGGTAGCCCGCCACGAAACAGAACCGGAACCAAGGCTGAAGGTGTAACCCTGTGACGACCGCTGCGTAGCCTGGTCGTCAGCCCAAGAAGCGTCTGCGTGCCCAGTGAGGACCACTGGACTCTGCCCTCCAAGCACAAGCCCCATGCCCGACGTACTGCACAAGTAGCGCAACACCCTCTTCGCTGCAGCCATGTGCTCCGGTCTGTGTCTCCCAGGAGCAACACAGCGTGCGAGAATGCTAAGAGGGTATGCAAGGTCAGGTCGTGTGCAGGTCATCAGATACATGAGGCAGCCAACAAGCTCTGGGTACGGGCCACTCGACTCTACGGACTCATCCGAAGGCAGAGCTGAGAGCGAGTGGCGAGTAGGCAGAGGAGTGGCCTGAGGCGAGGAGTACGTGAAGCCGAAGCGCTGAAGGACCTGCTGCACCATGTGTGACTGAGTCAGGGTAATGGTGCGGCGTGCTCTGTCCCGGGTGATCTGCAAGCCAAGGTAGCTGCGCAGTTCACCCAGGTCTGTGCACGTGTGTCTCTTCTGCAGCTCGGACTTCACGTGGGCGAGTCCAGCAGTGTCAGCTGTGGCAAAGACCAAGTCGTCGACGTACACGAGGATGTAGAACGGCGGCAAAGAAGTGTTGGTGCGCAGAAACAGCGACGGGTCGGCAGTAGAGGGAGCAAACCCAAGAGCCGCAAGTGTAGTCCTCAGTGTGTCGTGCCACTCACGCGGTGCCTGGCGGAGACCGTAGACTGGCCGCCGGAGGCTCCACTGGGTGCCAGGAGGAAAAGACCCAGTGAAGCCAGGTGGGCGACGCAGCCAGATCTCCTCGTGCAGGCTACCCTGCAAGAAAGCAGTGCTGAAGTCAAGAGAGTGCAGCTCGTAGTCGCGGTGAGCAGCTACGTGCAGCAGTACCCGAAGAGTGGTCATCTTCGGGGTGGGAGAGAAGGTCTGAAAGTAGTCAACTCCCTGCCGCTGACTAAAGCCACGAGCCACGTAACGCGCCTTGAAGACAGGCGGAGAACCCGGCGGCCGCTTCACCCTGAAAATCCACATGCCACTGACGATGTTCGCCCCAGGCGGGGGAACCTCGTCGACGTAGGTGCCTGTGGACTTCCAGGAAGCCATCTCTGCGTCCATAGCTGCCTGCCACTGAGAGGAGTAGGGACCCTCTATCGCCTCCGCGTAAGAGCGCGGAGTCGGGATGTCAAGTGCATCCGGGTCTCCCTCAGGGGTAAGCAGTACGGACACGAGATGAGGTGAAGCAGCAGCCAAACACTGGAACTCCTCCTGCCTGTCCTCAAGGACGTCCGTGCCAAGGGCACACTCACCCCTGACGGACGGAGGACAGACAGACTCAGCAACAAGACTAGCAGCGTAGTCTAGACGACAGCGAGCAGCAAAGTCGACGAGCTCAGTAACTAGGGCAGACGCAGCAGTGGACTCAAAGGAAGGGTCAGTGACAACAGTAGCAAGGAGACGTGTGACAGTAGGACTGGCAGCACGAAGAGAGTCCGACTCCGGGTCAGGAAGAGCAGGAAGAGAGGACTCAGGAGGAGAAGGCAAAGGGGCACGCAAGAGGAGCAGTGGACGGACGCAGAGACATCCGGTGTGTGCCAGGGACAGGAGGAGGACGCTGACGGCGAACCACGACCACTAGTGCGAGCAGCACGGACAGGCGACGCAGGGCGGGACGCAGGCTCACGACGCTCAGCAAGACCTCCAGTAGGACCAGTGTAGGGAGAGGGAGCGGGCAGTGGGGAGGCCGGCTGTAACTGGAACTGTGACGGGATAGGCTGTGGACACTCTAAGGGAGGAGGAGGACCAGTAGAAGGCGGGAGACCAAGAACCTGCTGAAGGAGCGGAACGAAGTACGGCCGAGGCCGCGCGGCGACTCCAGACACAGCAGGGACAGCACCAGTACCCCCAGCGGCAGCACCAGCGCCAGCAGCACCTCCAGCTCCAAGACCTCCAGCCGCACCAGTAGTACCCCCAGCAGGACCGCCTCCAGGACCGACAGCAGTAGCCTCAGCGCCAACACCCTCAGCAGCTCCAGCTCCAGTCGTACCCGCAGGCCCAGCAGCTCAGTACTCCCAGTACGAGCACCTCCGGGACCCACGGCACCAGCACCCTCAGCAGCCGAGAACCTCCAGCTCCAGCAGCACGCCTCCAGCGCCGGGCAAACCACTCGCGCAGCTCTGTGGAGAGAGTGGCTCCCGCCGAGACGAAGCACCCGGAGAACCTCCAGGCTCAGCACCGCCAGACGTCACACGAGCAGGCCCAGCTCCTCAGGCTCCGCACCCCCAGGCTCAGCACCCCCCAGGCTCAGCACCCCCAGTAGTAGCACCCCCAGGCTCAGCACCCCCAGTAGTAGCACCCTCCGGCTCAGCACCCCCAGGCGTAGCACCCACACGCTCAGCACCCCCAGGGTCAGCACCCCCAGGCTCAGCACCCTCAGCAGCACCAGAGTCACCAGTAACCTCGACAGGCTCGACTGCGTCTACCTGGGACACACCTGAAGGGGCAGGACCCTGAAGGGGGAGGGGGTCTACCGGGGGGGGACCTGGTACAAGGAAGAGCGGTGGCGGGGGAGGGGACGGAGTGCGATAGGGGAAGAGGCAGTAGTAGGGGACCGACTCGTCAAACGTGACGTCCTGGGAGGACAGAACACGGCGAGAGGTGGGGTGGTAGAACTGCCACCCTGGCGCGTCAGGGGGGAAGCCAAGGAAGACGCAAGGAGCAGCACGAGGGGACAGCTTGTCCGCAGACAAGTCGCAGACAAACGCCCGAGATCCCCAGACACGGAACGCAGACGCATCGCCAACCTT